CGACAGTAAAACAGGCGCTGAATGGGAGGCAACCCATTGTTTATTTATCTTCTTATTTTCTTTGTTTTTGTCGTTTTGGTCGTTTTAGCATTTTTTTTGTTTTTTTTTGGTTTAAGCTAGATTTCACCCATTTTCTTGATTTTTGCCGGTATCTCGTTCCCAAGAAAAGAAGAGTTAGAAGTCGGGAAGTCTAGGCAATTCTGGCAATTCGCCCTCGGTGCCAAAATTCATGGCACCCCGTGCAACCAAAGAACACTTTCGCAACCGTAGAACACTGATCAATCTGCGGCACGACTGTTCAGGGCGTATTTCTTTCTCCTTTCTTTTATTTTTCGCATTGAGGGCAATGCATGATTTAAGTTTGGGGGTGAGTTTAGCTTATTTTGATTTGGTCTTTTGCATGCATATCATATAATTTAGTTTCATTTATGTATTTCAATTTCCGTAATTGTGTTATGTTTGTCACATGCATCTCATTTAGGATCGAGTGTAAGTTGCATTTCCGGATTCTATTGAAGCAAAGCAATTAATGAATTAGTAGATGGGCTGGTTGATTTTAAAATTGAAATTATGGATAACCGGCTAATTATAGATGAACCTTCCGACTGCGTTTTTGCAACTTGTGCGGATAGCCTTTCGAATCCTTTCCGATTAAGCTTGAGCGCACTTTTCTGAGGGGTATAATAGTCTGAGGTTTGGGGGGCGAGTTAGAATTGAATTATGTGTTCACGATTTGCAGTTGTTGGCTAAAAGTTCTATCAATGGTCTTTACGTTTTTATTTTATGTTTGTTGTTAAAAAAAAAAAAAAAAAAAAAAAAAAAAAAAAAAAAAAAAAAGAGAAAAATAATAATTTGTGGTGTTGTGATTCACGCTCTGATTTCCCCGCCTTTCTGACTCGAGCTTAACCCGTTGGGTGCACCTCGTCGCCTAAGTCTCCCGAGCTGTCGAGCTTGGGGGTTTCTTGGACTAAAGTTCGATAAATGGGTCAGGGAGATAACACAGTGGTGTCGGGCCTTGCACGAGTCACGATTATGCCCGTTTCAAAAAAAATGAAAAAAGGAAAAAGTTGTGATGAAAATCACCAAAAATATTGTAGTTGTCATTTCTTTTATTCGAATAAATAGACCTACTTATGCCCAACTCGAGTTTTTGAATTTCTGAATCAAGACTTACGGGTCACCCACATTTCTACTCAAAACCCTCGATAATTGTGTTTATTGTTTAAATTACGGATTCTTGAGTCTATCTTTCATTTTGGTGTAGAAACAACTAATTGCGTCGGTAAGAAAGTCGAATACCATAAGCCGTATGCCATTCTAAGATTTTAGGTTATCTAGCTCGTTTCATCTTTGGAATTAATTGCAATGCTTTGACCAATCCGGCAACTTTGTGGGTGTGTTGTCTGAAAACCCTCACGAGTCACAACTCGTCCTTTGGGGGTACCCAGGGGTTCAACGGCTTGTTGCATACGCTAAATGCAATCGTGTTTCCCTACGTTAGTGGCCTAGGTTTAGTTTTTTTGCTTTCGTCGTTTTTGTTTTTGGGTTGTTGTTGTTTTGTTTTGATTTACTCGGGACGAGTAAAGATCTAAGTTTGAGGGTGTGATAAGTGTTCGTTTTGCACAACTTTTACTTATCTAATCTTCGTGTTTTGGTCTTCATTCGTCCGAGTTTTCGGCTTTATTTGTATATATTATGTTGTTTTTGTTTTATTTATATTTTTAGGTATAGAGAATCTATTTTTGCCGATTCGAAACGATTTTGGAAGCGAAGCCGAGAACCAAACCAAACACGTGCAAAAGTGCATTGTCGCGGATTGTGGCAGTGTTTGGTATTTCAAGCATAACTTTTGCATACGACCTCCGATTGGGCTGATTAAAGTGGATTTAGAAAGCTAACTTCAAGGGCTACAACTTTTGTGAAATGCATAATTGTCAAATTCGGGCGAAAAATGGGTGAAAACAGTGTTTGAAGTTGATGCAGAGGCCAGATCGCGATCCAGAAACACCGGATCGCGATCTGGTGGCGAATTCCAGTAGCAGCGAGAAATTGGGGCAGATCGCGATCCGCACTTCCTGGATCGCGATCTGGGAAGGCGGTTCACAGTTTTCAAGGTTGCCAGATCGCGATCCAAGAAGCCCAGATCGCGATCTGGGCACAGAAATCGAGACTAGATATTTTTCTTTGATTTTTCACTATAAATAGAAGGTCTCCTTTTCATTTTTCGATATCTCGAAAAGATCTCGACCATCTCTCGACTTATTCTTCGGTTTTCTCTTCGGTTCTCGCCAGTTCTTCGCGGGAAGCTTCGACGAGGGTTTCGACTCGGGTTTTTCATAAGCTTTTTTTTACGTTTAGTTTATAATTTCTCGTGTTCTTCATTTTGATGCTATGTTTGTAATGAACTAAGCATTTTCTTTTAGGGAAATGAAACCTTGTATATATTGATTTTGATTTCCAGATCTGTGATCTATTTGTCGTTCTTTGATTCTGTTTATGTTTTCCTGTATTAAATGCTTTCGATTGTTTGGCCAACAATCACTACTAGAAAATCGCCATTTAGCAACGGTAGTTTGCAACGAACGATGAATTCGTTGCTAAAATAAGTAATTAACGATGGAATTGGCGATGGAATACAAATTCGTCTCTTTAATCGTGCAAGTGTAATTATTGCAACACAAGTAGCGACGGATAACAAGTCCGATTCTAAATTATTAATTTAGCTACGGATATTGCAACAGAGAATAATCCATTTCTAAAATAAGAAGATTTGAACGATTTTCTTGTTCAATGAATGATACAAATTTTGAAATATTGTTTTCAACTCATACTCTACAAATTCTATTACTTATATTATTTTTTTCCCCACTAATTTCTTTCTGTCGAAAATGTTAATTTTTTTGAATTACATTGTAATAAAAAATACTTCAATTGGTTATATATATATATATATATATATATATATAAAGATATATATAAAAAAATAGTAGCAGTAAAGATACTCTAATTTATTAAATTAAATTTAGTGTAAAATAGTAAATAAAATTTCAAGTTTCAAGACTAAATAAAAATACGGACCACAACAAATATCTCAAGAGTCAAGACCTATATCCCTTCTCTTTTTTTATCATTCCCTCCACCGCTCCACCTCCAAAAATTTCCAAATTACTTTTCCCCCTTTTCCTCCAAAGACTACCGAAAACTTAACCCGTTTCCCTCCCCCTTTATGAAATTCTAAAATTCTCTGGTAATACCCATTCCTCAAAAGGATTCAGTTATACGAATTCTACAGCATATCAATTAATTATTAGTTTTTTTACTTCTTAATTGTTTGAATCCTATTAATATATGTATATAATTGTTTTTTGTTTTTTTTTTGTATGCAGATTGTAGTGCGAAGAATGACCATTTGGGGGTGGTCTCCAGCAATGGATTTGATGAGATTAGTTGGATCCCAAATATCAGAGCTGTAAGCCTCGTATTTTTCTCAATATTTCACTTTGTTTCTCCGAGTTCTCTCTCCGGCGGAATTTTGCTTATCCCGTGAAATCTCTAGTGTTTGCTTTTTTGCTTCCTTGTATCTTATTTCCGATCCTGAACCTCTAATACATCAAATTGCAACTCTTAAAAAAATTATTATTTTTCTCTTCTCAAAATTGAATTGAGGATTTTTACGATTTAGCTTATTTAAATTTATTTAGGGTTTCCTAATCATGTATGTGCGGGCGTTATTTGAACTATAGTTCTTAAATATTGCACTCCATTACGTTTATGCAGACTCTATCTGGGACTGGACATCATTGTCTCACAGATTCCATATAAGATGGAGTTGGCAGACCGAAACCCATGTTTTTCTGGCGTTGCTTCCTGATAGGCCGTGGGCGTGAAGTATGTCATTTTTTATTCTTCTAAATATTAAATCATATATTAAACATGAGTTTTGGTTCCATAAGTTCTGACTTTTCCTTATTCTTTCATGTTTTAATTTATCAATGACTCCATCTAATTAGAAGACATCATATTGTATTTGGTAATAAAAGCTAGCTAAATTCACTTATGTGTGAATGAGCTTTCATTTTTCTCAGATAATTTATTTTTCCTTAAACAGGAGTATGATCGCTCGGGCAATGTGGTTTGTCATGGTAAATATAGTATATACGAGGACGCAAGAGATTCCATGTGGTCATACTTCATGTAAGACTTTCTTCACATTCAACTTCTCCACCTAATATACAAGGCTGAAAAGAAGAAGTAATAATGGCTTTTATGATGTGTTTTTTTCAGGGTTATTTGCGGGTCAGGTTTTGTAGCACTATACATGTTGTAAATAATAAATGATTTGATCGAAGTGGACATGTGGTGGAACTATGCATTATTTCTACTTACATTTTTTTTACAATTTGCAGGGCTTGTGGCTGCTACTTTTTGCTACCTAAAGTTTTTCCCATCTCCATACGACACTGCTGGTAAGTAGAGTCTTCATTTGCCTACAGCTTATATTTTTCTAATATAGATTCTCGTTATTAACTAGATTAATTTATGATTTAGAACATGTAAAGCCACTGACTGTGGTGTATTTTTCGCGTTGAGAATTATTTTTCTGATCAGGCTGCATTACAGTTTCTTATAAGTCTCATATGTAGTGTGATATTTGTTGGCTTTTTGCAAACTTCTCTACTACAAAACCACATCTTAGTCTGCCTTGCATGAGCAAATAAACATAACTTACGAAAATGATTAGGCTTTGATGTTTCAGTGTTATGGTATTGTAGCTTGGGATGTGTTATACTTATGTTTCTATGGTTTTGTGAGTTTGAATATGAATTATGGGTCTAATGTTATTGTTCTTCATCGTCGATATTTATGGAACGTAGAAACTTATGTTTAAGTCTCTAGTAACTTGAGGCACTGATGTGTTTTTATATGCATTAGGCATTATTAAATATTTGATGTTGTGTATTAAACTTGCATCTAAGTTTGTTGATGAATTCCATGTTTTGGTAAGTAGTTAGTTGAGGGTTTTTTCATGTCTTTCTCTATATTAATCAACATATGATGCTTGTACAAATTAGGTTAACATCAATTTCTATTTGAGTTTAAATTTAACTATAGTTCCAATACTTGTGTCATTTAAGTTTCATGTGCAATGTGCTATATGTTAGTTACATGGTTGAGATTACTTTTTCCTATTCCAGTTGTAATGGTTGTGGCCATGTAAGTGTTTACCTATTTTTTTATAAAAAGAAAATTGTGAAGCAAGTATTTTACTTTACGTTTTCAGTTTTGGGACATTCAAGCTCTTAGTACGTGTCTTTGTACAATATGTTCGACTTCATAGCTAGAATCTATACAAACTATATGTGCGCCATCTTAAATTATGCTCCTTTCTGACATTATTATCAAAAAAAATTCAGGTTGTCATTCAAGCTATGCATCAAAGTCAACGACGAGGATCTTCTGAAGATATAAAGTGGATGTTGTTCGTCAATGAATTTATAGGATATGACTCATGCGAGCACAACTCATCAATAGGATTGATATTTTCTTTTTCACAATATAACAACCTTTTGAAAAACTATTCCAATGCAAATTTATAGTGCATATTAAATATATATGTTTAGTTAATTTAAATATTTTTATTGGTGTATAATATATTTAAATATGGTATCGAGAATTGATTTTCTTTTTTTTAGAATTCGACATAATTTTTGCAACGGATTCAATGAGGGATATATATCTCTAAACTGAATGTTGGCCTCAATTAGTTACGGATTTAGCAATGGAATTAGTGACATATGTATATAGTGTAGCCACAGATATTTAGCGATGGAACCTAATTGCTTTCTAAAAGTCAAAACACCTTCAATTTGTTGACCATAGTTAGCGATGCCATCATTTTCATCAGCGACGGATAGTTCCGTTGCAACCATTAGCAACGGAAATAATGCAGTTGTAACTAAAATTTAGCGACGCGGCTTTTTTCTACAGACGTGGCGAGGGAGCATTTCCGTCGCTACATTACAATTAGTAACGGTTTAGTGGTATTTAGCGACGGATTCGTCCGTAGCTAAATGGCGATTTTCTAGTAGTGAATTGAATTGATTCTAAATGGGAATGAACTCGAGAGAGGATTTCTCGTTTGATTTTAGGAAAGCATAGCTCGGGTTGTGGAAACGGAGACGTGATGCACCTCAGGTAGCCCTTAAGGACTTGACCTAAATGCTCTCTTAATATCAGGTTCTGAACGGAGACGTCGGACCTGTGGGTAGACTCTAACTACACTGGAGACGGGGGTTAGGGTATTTTAGTGTCTGGGTTAGCGAACATAGAATTGACAATAGATTTCGATTTGTAGATCTTTATCGATAGTACACTGGTGGATTTTACCCTAGAAGCCATCACACGTCAGAATTCCTCGCGTATACTGGCGGACCGTTGTTTTTATTATTTTTGTTTCCTTTTGGCTTCATGTCATCCCCCCATTATTTCTTCTTCGTCTTAGATTAGAGGTTTTAGCGAATACGTACTAAATTTGGCGGGTAACTTGGGTAGAATTTAGCGAAACTTAAAATTCCCTGTGGATCGATATCTGGAATTCACTATTCTACAAAACGCGATACTGTACACTTGCGGTTATTTATACGTAGGTTTTACGCGTATCAGTCGTCTCGCTTGAAACTGAATGGGTTCTATATTTTTGTCATTTCGTATTACCTGAAACCTTATTTTTTGGAGCTTGAGTTATTCTCTATTCATTATTTTGCAGGATTTTGTAACTATTTTTATTTGTGTTAAAGTTAAACTAATAGTTGTTGTTGATGTTTATTTGAAGTATTTGTTATTAATTGTTTATATAGTTTCTTATGTATTTACTCCATTTGCTCCATTGTATTTGTCGTCTTACATTACAATATACAATATGACTAAAATATTAAGGGTACTTTCCACAATTCCCTCTTATACTTTGTCCTGTTATTAGTTTACACCCTTCTACTCTCGATTGCATCGATTTGACCCATGGACTTGAAAAATTGACTCAATGTGGTCCTGCCTGTTAGTTGTCAGACATTTGACATTGACCATTTGATCTAAGCACTGAAATCACAAAAACGCCACCTCTCAAAGTTTAAATAATTATTAAAAAAAAATTTATGTAAAACATCGTGAAGTATGTTTTTTCGTTGTCTTGATTTTTTTTATTATTTTAAATTAAAGATAGACTTTGCTAATTTTGAAATATTGATGTGCAAAGCACTAAGAACATACCAAAAATGAAAAAAAAAATTAATTAAAGGGCCATGGTAGAGGGACACATGTATAGATATTTACGTGAACCGTTACTTGTAACATCCCGCATTTCCATAAACATTATTTATATTAAATCATGAATTTATTTGTAATTTCTATGCATTCTAACTATTTACACGATTTTGCGAGCTATGATATTTATGTTTATATTAGAATTATGTGTACTTTCTTAGTTAATTAACTTAGTAGTTCTAATTATGTGGTTATGTGATCCAGTTGCTATACTCCTACTAATTATGTGAATTAGAATTTATTATGAAATTAAATTAATTAGTTAACTCATGTGTGCTCATATTTTAATAAATTTGATTTATGATGAGTTATTAGTTAATTTCAGTATGTTAATTGTTTATGTGAATTATAATGTTTATTAGATTTTATAATTTGGTTAATTTGTTTATTTCGAATTAGATGATTAATTATGGTTATATGATTAAATGAATTAAGTGAATTAGTTCATGAATTTTATTATGTGAATGAAAGTATATATGTGAAATAATTAATCTATGTTAATAATAATACTCATTGAGAATTTACGTATTTGTCTTTAGTGTATAATCTTATTTCATAAGAATAATTAAATGTTAGCATATTTTATAAATCATATTTAAATATTTTACAATTGAATGATATGTGTTATATGAGAGTGTCATGTGTCTTGTGTATAGAGTTTGTGTATATATGTGCTAATTGTTGAAGTGTGTCATGTGTGCATGTTGTGTACGTGTAGTAATTTTGGTGTGCACAAGTGTTACTGAGTATTCATGAATTATGTGTTTAATACGACTTTATACTAATTTGATTTACATGATTTCACTTGAATATGATTAGAGACTTATTAAACTTCTACTCTGCAAAATTTCATAGTGTTTGGTTACGTTAAAGGTATAAATTATTTGAAAATTTTGAAGTTGATTGCTCTGTTCTGGAAACTATCAGATTTTCTAAAACGAATTATTTTGAACTAGAAAATATGTTTAGAAGTATGGTTTTAAATTCTTGACCCTTAGTTAATAGAAGCATGGTTATCGATATCAGCGTATCGTTTTCCTCCGTGTATCGTATCGTATTGTATGATATTTAACCAACTATTAAAAATAATAAAATATATATATTTACGTAATAGAAATACTATAAGCATGTAAAATTTAATATTTTAAAGTCAAATAAATGTTTCAAATTTCAAAATTGCATTATAAAATAGGGAAAAAAAAATCATAGTTGCTCTTAAAATAACATCAACAAAGTTCAAATTCGAATCCGTAATTTCTAAAAGACTAGTCTATCACTCATAATTTCTAAAAGACTAATCTATCACTCATAAATTCGCACTTGAATCGTGCAAGAAAATAACAAGAATTTATAGGATTGAGTTAGGGTTGTCATATTGTGATATTTTTTGAAGAAATTGAAGTGAGAAGGTTGATTAGGGTTGTGAATTTGAAGGGTTATTTTGAAATCCATTTTTCAGCCCTGAAACTGTGAATATTTCGTTTATTTTTTGTTTTTATATTTTTTAAATATTTTGACTAATATCGTAAATATCGTATCGTATCGTGATATGGCGATACGACACGATATCTCGCGATATTTACCGATATTTAAACATAGCCGATACAGAGTCCTAATTGTATCGTTTTGATTGGGACCGTACCGTATCACGATAAATATCGCGATATCTCGCGAGTTTAACTACCATGAATAGAAGAATTAAACTTATATTAAGCATA